TATATATTCTATTCTCCAGGGCTGAATCTTCTCAGAAAAAGCGACTCCACAAGAAACTCTTGTCGTCATTTTCATGTCAAACATTGTTTATTACGAATTATGGTACAAATCAATGTGACAGACTTGAAGCTTTCTTTTTTTTAATAAGTTTTTCCCTCTTTCCTCTTGTTTTGTAAGAAATACAGAAAGTGCTGCTTAAACCGACCAAAACAGATATTGCTCTATAGATTAATTACAGTTTTCAGTCTGTAAAAAAAAAAAAAAAAAAACAACACACAGGGAGAAAAGAAAACCAACATCCAGAGACTCTTCAGCTTTGGTTTCTAGTTCTTTGACTGCTAACAAAAGTTGTTTCTGAGTTGGTTTTTGAAACTGATTAAGGAAAAAAAAAAAAAAAAAGCTGATCTAGAATTAAATAAAGAACAACACAGCTGTCGTTATTTTCTTCTTCTACATCTTTCTACAAGCTGTAAATAATTAAACACAGAGAAAAAAAATCATTAAGAATTGTATATAAAAATCAATGTGGCTCAGTTAGAGATAAGTATAACAGAGTGATGCGTCAAAGAAAAGGAAGCAGAAGCCTTTTTCCTCTACCTTAACAGTGAACATGGACACAGTGCAGAGCAGCTGCTTGCTTGAACTGCATTTATCTGATTTCCAACACTGAGGTATGAACCTCTGTGTTCCTGCTGCTCGTCTTCTTTCTGCTCATGTTTTTAAAGATTGTCAACATCTTGAATCTATGTCTCTGTACAATGTGCATAACTATAGAGCTTTGGTCCAGCTTTAATAAGTCGAGTGAAGGCATAACTCCTTTCTGTGTCTTCTTTTAGGTTTCTTTCCATTTTGGTTACAGCTTCTTTTGTATGTTTTAAAGCCTCAAAGCTGATCAGTGTTTGTTTTTTCTCTGCAGACTTTCAGGTTTTTTTTTTTCAAGCTTCTGCCTGAAATTGTTTGTTTACAATGAAAGCAGCAGAACAAATCTGTGGAGGTAAATGGATGCCGTTTTAAAACACAAACACACAAACCACTTTTCTATGACATTTTACGGGATACAGTGAATTTTCAGGCTGGGTGCAAAAGCAGCCGAGATAACCGACGTGGAAGGATGTACATCAAGCCGACACTTGATTCTGAATAAATCGCATCAAATTTCGCCTCACTTCAAATTAAGTTCACTCGCTCTGACATGTGACACTTATCCTCAACATTCACCTCTTCTCTGTTCCTATGAGGGAAAAAAGGGAGTGACGGATCGAGACGTTTCCCGGAAGAGTGATATTTCTGGCAAGAAAATACAGCGCCTTGCAAAAATATTAACTTTTACTCATTTTGTCAACTCACAGCCACATTATTTCAAATCATTTATTGACATTGTATGTAATAGACCAACTCAAAGCAATAAGCAATTGAGGAGAGGAAGGAAAATGACAATTCACATTCCTATTTTTTCAAAATGATAAAAAAAAAAAAATCAGTTGTGCAGACGTATTCAACAATGATTTATAGTTGCTTTTCTCATAAGGTAAAAAAGTTCAACTGTCTGACTTAAAACTAAAGTCCCACAATAAACCCACTGTTAAAGGAGTTGGTGGCAGCATCATCATGTGGGGTTGCTAATCTTCACCAGAGATGTAGAAGCTGGTCACGGTTGAAAGGATATTGGATAAAAGGAAATAGAAGCTGAAGAGGATAAGAGCCTGCGCTATAGCCTCGTTTTCCATCAGGAGACTGAACCTGAACATAGAGGCAGAGTTACACTGCAGCGGTTTATTTTGAAGCACATTCATGTGTTAAAATGCTGCAACATGCAGCTCAGAGACATCATTTGTCCCTCCAGGTTCCTCACAGCAGCTCCTAATGATTTAGGCCTGCAATGTCATAGAAATAAGAAGTTTTTTGATATGAACAAGAATTTATATGCAATTTCTGCAAAGGAATAAATACATTTTATAATATATAACAGGCAGAAAAACTTTTTTTTTACTGTACTAATAAGAACGTGGGGTCTTTTTCTCATAACATTTTTATTTGACTATAGGAAGAAACAAATGAGAAATTCTTTATTTTCTTCCCTTCATTTTCTATTTTCTTTTCCTTCTTTTCATATTTTGCAGTCTTATTTGTACCTGTTTGCTTTCACCGCCCATTTGCTTCACCACTGGCATATCTGAATTTCCCCGCTGTGGGACAATAAGGGACTTTTTAAATAGTACTGTATTAAACAGTATTTGTAAAACATGATGAACTGCTTTTTTTTAAGGGGATGAAATAATGCAGAATCATGACCTTGACGTAGATCTAATTAAGAGTTTTGGATAGCTGAATTAAAAAGATCCGCCCCATCCTATCAGAACGAGTCTGAGCCGGTTTGCGATGATGAGCAGGAAAAACAAGGAAATATGTACATGAATAAAACTGGTAGAGACCTACATAGAAAGACTTGAGGCTTTTACTGCAAAGAAACAATGATTCAACATTTTTTTTTTTTATCTTTAAGCTGAAGCATAAGTAGGACACCCTTTACAGATATTTATTGGTTAAAATAAGAAAATAAAAAACATGAACCATTTTCCCTCTGCACTGCTTTGTGTTGGTCTATGACAAAATTATGGACTTAAAATAAAGCTAATTCAGAGGCTTTCATATGAAAACGTGAAAAAAGGTTGGGGGCTGTTAGACCTTTGCAAGGTGCAGAAACTGAATGATATACAGGGGTTTAAATAATTCTGCTTCTGAACACAATAAATAAGAGAAATTATAAAACTAGAACCTTGTAAATGTTAAATAACAAATGTTCTAACACAGAAATAAAGCTTTGCTTAACAGAAGTGACCTTCACTCAGCTAAAAGAAATTCAAACTATGAAAGAACAAAAACGGCTCCTTGAAGAAAAGCAGTTTTTGTGAAATATTCAAGTAAAAAAAAACCTGCAAACAATAAGCTCGGTGGTTAAGCTCCTAATCACACATCTAGACAAAGTTAGGGTAATATTAAAATGTTCATTTTCATGAAAAATACAGATGAATATGTTAATTTCATGATGTGAAATCTGTGGTCTGGTTAAAGCATGCAGAGGCAAATCTACGTAAAAGAAACATTTCTTTACAAGCTGTTGTAAAAAAAAAAAAAAAGCACAGTTGAAGCTGTTTGACATGATTTTTTTTCCAACACACAGTAAAACACTTTATAAAAAGGAGGCAGAAAACCATGTGAATATAAAGAAAACAGAAAGAAAAGATCTCCCCCAGTCCTTGAGCTGAAGTTTGTGTGTTCTTTGGCTATCAGGCTTTGGCAACAGAAACAAAGCTGCAGTACGACTTGAGACTAAAACCCTTCATTATTTTCACCACCATCATATTTAAAAGTCCCCCGTTTCCTCTCCCTTTTTTTCACCAACAATCTCATCCAATAATTAATAAATACCTGTAAAAGTTGTACAAAGTTACATTGTGACTGAAAATATTTACAGATGAAACACAACTGGAGGCAAACAACATTATAATGCAACAGCAAAGGTTCTTTTTTTTTCCGCCAAAAATGTATCAGTGATTTAATCTGAAGACATTTTTTTAATCTTTTTTTCCTTTTTCTATATTTACATTCAAAGAACGAAGAAAAAAGTAAGAGACGAGGATAAAAGGTGTACTCACACACACGTATAGCTTAGATTTCGCCAGTACAAATGTAAAAATTTAGAGCACATTTACATTACAAAATTAGTTTTAGCAGTTAGATGTAACAGACTTTGGTAGATAGTGTTTGGATTTGGTTTCTCTTTACTAAATTCCTCTTCGCAGGAGAACCAGAATTAGGGAGACAGTTCTGGATCTATATCTCTTTAAATCAGCACGCCATTATGTTTTTCTTTTTACATAATTCTCACATATTAATCTCTTTTTAGTGTTTTCTTTTTTTGGTTTTTTGCAGAGGTCATTTACAGAACTGTGGTGATCACAATGACAACACAAAGTTTTTCTCTATCCCGCTGACTCGGTTTTCCAGTCTTTATCTGCTTTCTTTTTCTTTGCTTCCGTTTGTAATGGCTGACACTTTTGCGCTCGTTCACTTGGGGAGGTCCTCTAGAGAGTCAGTGAGAGGGTCCATAGGCGCGGCCATGCCGAGCTCGGGCTGTTTCAAGCGCTTTATTGTGTTTTTCAGGGCTTGCCTCTTGTTGCAGAACCACACGCGGACCACCTCCCTGTCATAGTTCAGTTTCTCAGCTATCTCCGTCATTTCCTGTCCGGAGGGGTGCGTGTTCTTCTCAAAGTGGCTGTTGAGGATCTCCAGTGCCTGCGGTGTGAAAGAGGTCCGCCTCTTGCGTTTTTTCGAAGGCTCACTCCCAATAAACTCAGTCAGGTTCTGCATTCCGGAACGGTGGCGGGCTTCAGCCTCGGCCATCCAACGCTCCAGAACAGGCTTAATCTTCTGGGCGCTTTTAGGGGTGATGTCCAACTTCTCAAACCTGGCAGGATATAAAAGGCCAGGGTTCAGTTTGCCTGTCAGACTGCTACCTATAGTGTTCTCTTGGGCTTCCTGTGGTAGGAAAAAGTGGCTTCTCAGGATGGTGTGTCTGGGGAGAATTGAGAAAAAAGAATCTTACTCAGGTGCCCTGCCAGAAGAAGGGATAAGTCGCCTGTTTTTTAGTCTCCTCAACCAGAATGCCACAGGGACTGAAACCAGGGTTCCTATGCATTTTTATAGACATTACACTCTTTTCCACACACAACATTTAAAAAAGTTTTCAGTCCTTTTTAGATAATTGTTTAAATTCAAACAAAATGTTCACCAATATGGAAAATGAAGGAAACAACAGACTGGAAGGAAGGATGGGGAAGAGAATAAAAAAAGAATGGATGAATAGACGGATTGGTTGACGCACAGAATGATGGACGAACAAAAGAATGGACAGTTGGATAAAGAATAGATGTTAAATAATAATATAAAGGAATAAGAAAAGACTATAAATACTGTTCTATATCCAATCTTAATTTATCCATACATATTTTGGCCTGGAAATAACATCCAGTAAATCCCAGATTGCGCAGGAACCCTGTGAGACAAACATCTAGGTGTTAATCTGCATGTTGCTTCTGGAAACACCAGCTGGAGGTGCCCCTGCTACAACTTTGCTTTACTCTCTGGCTACAGCTTCTCTGTCCCAAACTGGCAATAGTGGAACAAGGAGATACTGCAGATGGTAAAAAAAAAAATCACATGAAGCTAAATCACAAAAAGCATGCCAAAAAATTCAAATAATTTTACAGACTATTCTTAGACATTAGTGAGTATATATCCATTCTTATCCCCAGATAAGAACCAACATATCTTCTGCATGCAGTCAGATATGCCACCATCATTCATTTACAAAAATACATTTAGAATTAAGATAGAGATTTTATACATAGTTTAAACATCAAATTCATTGAGAACACATTCACAGACTGCCAGTGGAGTGATATTAGTATCAATTCACTGCCTGTAATTAGGAAGTTCAGCAACTGTCAGGTGCCTTTAAAAAAAAAAGTAATTTCTCTCATATTTGTAATGCTTCTATTGTGATTATTTGGAGGAACACGTTTTAACTGAGTTTATGTATCATTATGGAAAGGCTGAAAAAGAGTAACTGTTTGGTATTTTTTTAATTATACCTAGATATTAAACAAACTGGCTAATTAAAAATGAATGTCAGACGGAGCTGAATTCAAAGAATAACCTTCATTTGTTATTGCAACAGTGCATTACTAAAATAACTTTCCTCTGCAGTAAGTCCATCCCAGCTTGTCATTGCCCCCCCATCATTGTGGGGTCAAGGATTTAGTCAGGGACCCTAAGTGACAATGACTTATTATTATATATGAAAGTTATATGAATTACAGTATATGAACATTTTGTCAAACAACTTTTCTACAGTGATTATACTTGCATTTTTTTTATTTATTTTTTTTGCTCATCCTAAACCCTTTTGAAACTTTTGCCACTTTTAAGCCAAATAGAAATCTGGGAAGTGTGGCATACATGATGAAACAAGGTGTTGGCAGGTTCATGATGTGGGAGCGCCATTATTTAGCAGGGACAGAGAAGATGGTTAGAAAATAGGATTTGCAAGAGTTTAGAGGCAGTTCTCTAAAGAGCTTCACTTGTTAGAAAACCTGGATTCCCACAGCATGATGCTGCCTCGTCCATGTTTCACTGTACACTCTGGGGATAGACTATTTGAACCTTACATTTTCACATGATATAGTCTGGTGTTAAAGGGGCTATTTATTGTTACAGTGGGGAAACTGAGGATGAAAGGTAATTAAAACTGATTGCACTTTTTAAACAGTCTACTTCAGCACATGAAACAGTGCAGCTGCACTGGAATGCACAATAGGAGCAAATTTATTATAATTTGAAAAAACAAATACAATTTTCTCATGGAACCAGAAATGGAATAAAATAGATACATTATCATGGATAGCCAGACTGTTTTGTGATTTATGAACATCACAATAAATCACAGTTCTAATCATTCATATGACAGTAAATAATAAGTAAAAGTTAATCTCTTTTTTTTTGTTTAAAACTACGTAACCAATTATTTTTCAGCTTCAAATAAGAAAAGGTAGAAATTAGTATAAGATCCTTTGTAAGGTGTTGTAGGCTCTTTTTTTATTATAAATTAAAACATCTTCTTTATAATTCAGAATTTAAAACCAGAGGAACCTTCCTCAGAATTATGTGGACACAGAATCAGGGATGCTGCAGTTACTGGGAAATCTTTTCAGCAGAAAAGATTAATTCATGAAGTTTACTAGGAATTAGCCCAATAAAAGAAGGTTAGTTGATAATGGTATGGTTTTGGTTTTATGAAATAACTCCTCCAGACTGCTATTGAAATGCTTTAGTAAAGTGGCTCTTAAAGAAAAAGCTTAAAGCCACACTGAGCTCAGAAGAAACACACAGTAATAAAAGCCTTCTTTAATGGTGAGGTGAGCTGAGGGCGAGATGCCCATGCATGCATGAACTTCCTCTGTTTCTACACCTCGTCGACAGGACGTATTATTTATAACCCCATCCTTCCATCCTAAACAGTGGAAAGAGGAGGGCTCCATACTGAGGGAATACATTAGTAAATATGAAGAGCCGCTGGAGACAGGACATTTCATGGATCAACAGAAACCGCAGATACTAAAATGAATTGAGAGCGGCTCAGCCGGGGTGCGGGGTCCCTCCTCCGGTGCATCTGGATGGGAGGGGTGCTGGGGGTGGGACTCTTAGGATGGAGTAATACTATATGAGCTGCTGGATGTTTGGTCATCAGGATAAAAATATATCGTATCATATCTAAAGCACAGACAGAAAAGACTAAATAAGAATAATTCTCTTAATAGTCATATAAAATTTTTCATTTAGAAGATTTTTATGAATCAATGCTATTTTGATTGAATGGCTAAAATTAATTTTCTTGGCTTCAAGAAAACCAGCTTTAAAAAAGCTTTTTTTAGAACCTAAAATGCCGTAAAAAACATTGTATTTTGACCACAGACTCAGATGCACCTTTCTCTGCTTTTCATGTAATCAGTAACACTGAAAAAAAAAACATTTATCTGAGCTGCATCCAGGCAGTGGAGGTCTGGGTTGCAGGTACATTTTATTAAAATTTTCTAGAATGTTCCTTCATGTTTTACAGAAATTGGACATAACATGTTTGAACCTTTTAGGCGTCAGTACGGAGTGTTGACTTCAGTGTTGAAGTTATAGGTTCACATAAAATCAGTATGGGGAGGGTCTGTTAAGGTGTGAGTTTTCATCATGATCAAATAGAAAAACGTTTGTGGACAAAAATGTTTTAAGTGTGAGACAACCTTTTAAAATTTAACTGTTGATTCAAATATTGAAAATATAAAAATAGACTACTTAAAATCTTGTTTTGGATATATAAAAAACCCAAAATGCATTAGGATCACTGGATTATATTATTTCTTTATTACAGCATCTCTAAAGCTAACTGTGATACTGTGAGCTGACTGGATCTGATTTCTCATACCTTTCTCCTCTTTTTTGTTTTTATTTTCTATTGTAATTCAGAGAGTTCTTGTCTGAGGTTTACATACACACAGCATTGCCAGGAACGGCACATTTATCTTAGGCTTTTCATTATTTCTTTTAGAAATAAATGTGACTAAATCAAGTAAATTGTCTGTTATCACTTCAATCTAATTCTCACTCTCACCTACAGGGCTCTAAATGACAAGGCTCCTGTCTACTTATGTCACATAACAGCTAAACAAACACAAGGCCAAAACCTAGGAGGACAGGACATTTCAGTCTGTGGCTTCTAAACTGGGAGATAGCAAACCTCTGCAACTTCTTGAAATTAGAATAAAAAAAATCTATTGAAACATTTTTTGTTCCATAAGGCTTTTAGATCACAATTCTTTTTGTGTTTAATCTTATTGTGATTTCTATATATATATTTTTTTATATGTTTCATCAAACAATTTGGTGAACAAGTGCAAACTTATTGTGCATGTTCCCCTAGTTTAAATGCACTACCTCCCATTGCTAACACAAGCAACAAAAATAAAAGCAACACCTTTGGTTTTGCTCCCATTTTTCATGAGATGAATGACAGCGTGTACCAATTCCTGCCAATATCCAGCAACTTCCCACAGCCATTAAAGAGGAGTGGACCAACATTCCAAAGACCACAATTAACAACCTGATCAGCTCTATGTGAAGATGTGTTGCATTGCACGAGGCAAATAGTGATCACACCAGATACTGACTGGTTTTCTGAGTCCCCAACCCCCCCGCCCCCCATAAAAAACTGCACCTTTCACAGGGGCCTTTTATTGTTGTCAGTCTGATAAAAAGACACACCTTTGCACTAATCATCATGTCTGATCAGCATCTTGATATAGCACACCTGTGAGGTGGGATGGATTATCTCAGCAAAGGAGAAGTGCTCAATATCACAGATTTAGGCTGGTTTGTCAACAATATTTGAACGAAATGGTGATATTTTGTATGTGGAAAAAGTTTTAGATCTTTGAATTCATCACACAGAAAATGGGAGCAAAACCAAAATGGTTGTGTGTATCTTAATAAATATACCAGAGGAGGTGGAACATATTTGTCATCATTTTGCAGCCTCCAACAAAGTCCTGCTATAGTTCTATCTGGGTATTTGATGACTACTCATCTTGGCAGAATTAGAGTATAAACCTTAGTTAAACTGGCTGGATTCCTGGGTTAGACATCAGCTAATCCTAAAAAGAATTAGAAAAAATTTTTTTTTACTAAGGTTTTTTCCTTGATGACATTTTTGGAACAAAGGTTGAACTAAATTTGAAATTTGAAATTGCTTATATTTTTATTTACCGGTACTTTTAACTTCTGGTTTTAAATTCTGTTTTAGTTTTAATATTTAGTAGTTGTTAGCTAGTTTAGTGTAGTTTTTATTTATTTATGCTTAGTTTCAGTTTTACTCTTTAGACAAAGAAAAAAAAAAGAATAAAATCTCAGGTAAGGACAGACCGCTGCAGCAACCCGTGTGGCCTGACATCTGTTCGCATGATGTGGTACAGCGAAAAAGCAATAACAATACCGGGAAACTAGACTTCCTATTAATACATTACGATAAAGAGACAAAAACTAAGCACATTCACTCTTAAAGTTCATTTGGTTTTAATTGATTCTGGAAACTTATTACAGGTTCAGGTGGATTTCATATTTTTCAAGGTCTAGTTTTTATAACCATTTTATTTAACAAAAATGTTTTTTTTTTTACTTAGTTTTCTTTATTTCATGAGTTTTACGCATAGATATGAACTTTGTTTAAAAACAATCTAACTGGTTGCAATAGGTTGATCTTTCGCATGTCATATCGTAAAACAAAGTTGGATGTTAAAAGTTCAAAATGAAGAGGAATATAGATTTTGTTTAGACCTATAATAAAAGATAGAAGATATTTGTTTTCATAAAACACAGTAAATGTCTTATATCATCAAACCAAACCATTCTTATTTGCCAGCCTTTTGCTGACTAAAAGGAGGACAACACTAGTTGGAGCATACCCTTGTGTAATGCTTGTGCCTGTTTAGAAACACTAATAAAGAGCCTGGGAACATGGTGAGCAATGAAAGCAGACAAGATAGAAGCATCTGTCAGTGTCTGTTGGATGTCTGGGTTCAGGGCCGGAGCCCCAGAGCTAAAGTGATGTCCCTATCTTCAAACTTCATGTCTATGTTGATGTTAACTAAACTAAAGCACGTGAACTTCCCCCTGCTTCTTCTTAAAACATCAGCATGTCATGTCTAATGTCTTACAAACAATGAAAAAGTTGTCTTAAAGGCATGCATAACAGCCAGCACAGTGTTTATTTTTGAAGCTAATGGATTTTAATGTATGTTATAAATATTTGAATTATGTCTGGCTGTAAATATTTCATGTGTGATTTTTTTTTTCTTCCATCTTTAAACATTAGCCCGGGCCTGATGCACTGTTTCACATTTTATCGGCTGTTTGATGTTGATGTGATGAAAGTTTTAAAGCTGCGTGTCGGTGCTGCGTCACCTAAACAGTACAGGTTATCTGCAAAGCACATTAAAAACACATGGGGAGTGAAAATTACTGATGCCAAACAGCACTTTACACGTGCTTCTTTTGCAAACTTTAAAACCGTCTTTATGGTCTGTAAAGAAAATAACTTTTCTATTTAATTCTTGCAGTTTTTGAAGCCATGTGGCCCAATTTTTCTGACCTGACAGGAAAATGTGGCTTATTTAGCTTCTTGATGCAAAACGTTAGTGAAGCAGAAAAACAGGACGAATGAAACACAGATTTTATCATTGCCTCATGAATATATAATGCCCCGTTTACAGCTAAACTGTACTCACAGAAGCAGTAAAATATGGGAATCTTATTAACAGATCGTTGCCGTCAAGCTCTTTCATGTTCAGGCAGTGGAAACAGCGATGTCCTTAGTAATTATTAAATGCTTTAAGTGCTTCTGGTAATACTTGTGTATGTATTTTGCATAAGTAACACCAGGCTGTCAGTGGGTGGGAACGCAGAGCAGGGTGGGTGAGTAAAGCCATGTGGGTCAATTATGTGTTTAATATCTTAATGATGTCTTCTTTCACGATGGATTAAAGAGGCGAAGGCACCTGACAGCTCACTGATGCTGCTCTGCTACATCTACCTTCATTTGACAGAATCAGGACAGAAAAAGAAGAAGAAATAAAATCTGAATTTCTCCTGTTAATTTTTCTGTCTTACCTGCATATGGCGGACTGGCTGTATGCAGGGCCCTCAGCCGCGCTGAGCGCCTGGCCCACCTGGGTTTGCGTCAAGCCCAGGGACAGCCGGCGGATCTTGAATGCTTTGGCAAACTCACGGATCTCCTCCAGGTTGACCCCGTCCACCTCACTGGGGGCAGTCTGTGGGTCTGCAACACAAACACACGCGTCTCATTTTATTAGCCCTTTGCTCCTCCTTCGCTTAGCTTATTTTTCAAAAGTGAATGAGGTGAACGGGCAGCCATGTGAGACCATGATGGGCTCTAAACAACCTTAAGAAATAGTCCTGTTCTGGGTCAGAACTTGTTATTTCTCTTTGTTGTAAACCTCACATGTCTGAGAGATGTTTTGAAAAATGAATTTATGTAAGGTGTGAATACGGGCTTTCATAGCACAGCCTTTTAAGTGTAAATCTTCTATTTTACAGTATAGCTGAGTATAGAGAAAAAAAACAGGGCTTCTTTTATTAGAAAGAATGTGCACAGCTATAGACATCTGTATGAATACATGTCTAGTCTAAAGGTAACTCTAAGATGAACATTAAAGAAAAAGAAAAGATGTTATTACTTCAGGACGACCTTTAGTTAAGAAAGGTCAAAGCAGCTCAAACAAATGCTAGTTTTTACCAAAAAAGAAAAAAAAATACAGCAATGAAAGAAAAGCAGGGCTGTAAACTTTCGTTGAAGGGTTTTTAAATAATTTCCCCGCTAATAAAAAGTGATCCAACATTGTACATCAATGTCAGGTGCCCTGGCATCCTGCTTACCAAAGCAAAGTTTGTGCTTCTGAATAATTCATCCTGGTCATTATCAATGAATTATTAAAGGACTCCTCCAAGCGTATTTAAGCAAAAATCTATGAGGCTGCCATCTCGTTGTGCCTCATAAGTGACGTGCAGCATATGCGATGCAGCTCCAGACGTGTGAACGCCGCAAGGATGAGGGGACTGCAGACTCGGAGCACTCACTGCTTCTTTGGGTTCCATCATCTCCACTGTGATGAGCATTTCTTCATCATTCCCAGAGGAGGCTATTTACTTAGTAGATTGAAAGACTAATGGAAGCCGTTCTATATCGGTCCAGCCTCTGGATCCCCGTTATTTGGCAGATATTAGGTCACGGCTCAAACACGACTTAAAATTTGAACCCGGCTCATTTATACTGCATTGATGAATCTTTCATTAAGGCTTCAATAAATAGTGCATGAAAGGTTTAGAAGTTAATGTTACAAAAAAACCAAAAAACAGGACAGAGGCTAGGAGAAAGAGTAGATGGGGCTAAATTAAATGCATATTATATTAAATGTTGAGTGAAAATACTTTGGTAATTATGTACTTACAAAAACATAAAACAAAAAAAAAACATTTCTTTTAAATGAGCAAATATAAAAGGAGACTTCTCCAACCAAATCCCAGCTATTGCTTAAAAAATGTAGTATACTGCTTATTGCATTTACAGTGTTTTAAAAGATAAACGTTTTAATATTTTGTTGCTGTAAACTAAGTATTGCAAACACACATTATATTAACATACTGCTTAAGGTGTAAGAGAAATGGATGGTTATCTGATGTTTAATGGCTGGTGGGATGTGGGATAAATAAACCCTCTGACAAAGATTCAGGAATACAAATTTAAGATTAGTATTGCGATAGTTTTTATTTATTTTTTCATTGACAAAATAATACTCAGGCCAAGCCTGAAAAAAACCCCAAAACAATAAATAAACAGTGCATGCATTGTTAGAGCTCACTTTTATATTGTTAAATGGATATTCAGCATTTTTGAGACAAAGCCTAACTAGAGCCAAGCTGAAATGCTTCGGTTTCAGCTTTAGTCCACACAAAAAAGTTAAATCTGCAGGAAAGCACAGTTATATATGGGTATCAAAATTATTTTTTTATTGTTTTTTTAAAGCAGGAGCAACTAGAAGTTTTTCCGGACTAAGAAAGGATAAAAATAACAGTGTTGGTGTCTTGTTTATGATCTAATCTTTCCTCACCTGATTGTTAGCAAACATGCTCTGCTTTTCACTTCATTTCTGGAATGTTTGTTGGAAGCAAACATGATGACATTTCATTTTCTCTAACACCGACAGCAAGAGGATTTTACGTGCACATGTTTGCTGTAAATGATATTGAGAAGAAGTGATGCGGCTCATACTCAGCATAAAGCGTTAATCCTATTTACTGCAAAGTCTGGACCAGAATGGTTTATAAGATGTTTTTCAGGGTACCGGTAAACATAAGCTAAACACAATGTCCACAACAAGTTGATCAATGGCGACTTGGTTTGTTTTTTATTAAATTCAGGGAAACTATGGCAGCCTTTGAAATGAGTTTACATGGAGTTTAGGAGAATCGACTCTGACAAATAACATTTATCTGAATAAAACTGAGTTTTTAAAGGCAGGGGCTGCCTGCTGACAGGCTGAGCCACAGTGATTTATAAGGCCCTGCCAAAGGCCAACGCACTCGGAGAATGAAACTTATGTTCATCATACATAACAAACGCCACTTTGGGTAGTTTAATAAACCACAGAAATGACAGTCAACAGGAAAAAATAAAGCAATCAGTCAAAGGCTGTCCACAAAGAGAGCCTGCAAAGTTAGATTACCTCCAAAGATCTCAAAGGTTGAACAGGATTATCATTATTATCATTGTTAGAATGTTTTGTTTTAAATATATATATTTTAGATTAAGGTCACTATCTCTCTTTAACAAAAATGAGTTTTATTATTATTTTCCGTACTTAAAAATGCTTAGTAAATATGTTCACAAAATTTTTTAGTATTAAGCTTTTATCTTATGGTCATAGGTGTTCTTTTTTTTTTTTTTGAAAATATTTTTTTATCTGTATATTTTTTTATCTATTTTAAATCTGAAGTCCTGTCAATGTACATTATTATTGTGATAGTAATTTTAAATCACGATTCAGAGGTATAAAAATTATATAACTATGATGTTGAAATTTAAAGTCAGAGATAGTTTTTTTTTTTTTTTTTTCAAAAAGTAGTAAAGCAAGTGAAGCACATAAAAAAAACACCAAAAAAACAAAACAAAAAACACCTTACTAAAATTCAAACCAGAAAGTATGACCATCTTAAAGGAAGCGCTATAGTCATTGCTGCCATCTATTGTTCATTTAGGAGAGTGGGACATTTTAACTTGCCTAAAAGTTAGATTCTCCTAGTATTAGTGCGCTCATAAACATAGAAAACCTCTTGTCTGACCCTATACTCACTTTGCAGTACTGTGGTTTATGGTTGGGACATATGGCTTCATCAGAGCAGAGTGGCATAGCTCTTATTCTCTGCTTTTCAGATTTTCCATTTGTAATGGTGATGTGAGTCTATCTAAAGCCCCAGTAACACCTTAACGATTTAGACCAGCGTATGCCTGAAGTACGAAAAATATGGCAAAAACGCTGGCATACGTTGAATTACGTTTTGTAAAAGTTATGAGCACGCTGAAACACGCTGATATAAAACTCTGTAATTGATAAAAAAAATCAAGGATGATAAATCATTCTCATATCAAAAATTGGTTGACCACATTTTTTTAAACCATATATATATATATATATATCAGATTTTCTAATTTTTAATGAAAGAATTTCTGTTTTTGCTTACTGTCTATGAATCCAGTTAAAAAGATCAATAGAGTAATAATAGGATTCTGTTTGTGCAGCTAAAACCTGATTTCTTGTTCCTTGGACACATAGCTCATCATTGGTATTCAGCAACTGATAAAAAGACAACAAACTACATTATTGCACAGACTGACATGGTGAAGCTGTGTTTTAATTTAGGTGATTGCTTACAAAACAAACACACATTATGATCTGTGTATTCAAAAAGAACCCAGACTAAAGTAGATAACATCGGAGATGGTGGCTGACTAATCACTGCTGCAGCTTGCATAGTTTTCTGGTTCAACAAATGTTAAACATTTTATTTTAAAAAATGTTATTTAGTCCAATTGTCCTGCTTTGGGGACAAGTCATATAATGCGAACAGACTGAATAATGAAATAAATGTTAAAAGATGTTAATAGATGGCCAGCAGACACTGAAGGGTTTTACTTCTTAAGTTGCTCAAGGAAGAACAGTAACTGTTAGGCCATCTCCCAAACAGAGGCTCAATCCAAATAACGTCAGTTGTGGAGAACACTTGAGGTTATTTAGCATAGGGACCTCCAGAGGTTACTGTCTGCTGTTTAGGAGCTAAACAGTTACCGACAAACCCTTGCTTGACAGGATATATAGGAGCAGCCCACCTTATGAAATTGAACACAAAAAAAAAAAAATAATTTCATGTATACTCCGTGTGACACATGGAAATGTACAGTACACCCCTTTATAAGTTTCTGGGTTTTACAACGGAGAGTTTGCTATTTGCTACATTTGAGTAACTGGAGTTTTTTGTAGTTCTTTTTCAGGAGGCTGTAGTCCTGGTTGTGACTAGCGTCACCCATGCATGTTTCTGTTGTGTAATGATGTTTAGAATGCTGAGGGCTGTCCATATTAAACACAGCAGTCCAGCGCGTCTTTCGCTCCAACAATAGTGTTCTTACCGTTGACCACAAGAAAGGTGAAGTAGCAGGAGTGAGGAGCTAAAATTTGCCCAACACAGAATCAGTCAGTCTATGTGTAAAGACCAGTTTAAGTCCTGAGAAGGGCTGACTGCCAGCAAGTGGAGGTGATCCAGGGTGGGGACTAGGAGGTTCTCCTGAAGACTACATCATCTCTATTGTCATGAGGGGTTTATACCTTATAAGGTTCTGATCTTATTAGTTGACCAAATGATCAACCTCCTGTCTGTATGCAGACTTATCATTCTCCTGCATCAGATCAATAACTGTGGTGCCATCTGCAAACTTCAGGAGCTTCGCACACCGGGTTAGCTGTAGGGGGCCCTGGGCTGTAAGAAGATGCTCCCCAGTCTTATGTCCGATCTACCGCTGCTGGTCAGTAGAAGATACCTTGTTTGATGGTGTTAAAGCCGAGCTGAAGTCCAGAAACAGGACTGTGGTAGATGCTGTGGGTGCACACACATGTCCTCACAAAAACCATGTAAGAAATGGCAGTTCTAGAAAACTCGTTCAGGATGAGGCTTTAAAAACACTCTAATCTGTGCAGAAAAAGCAGGGCTGTAGCATCGGCTTTGAATGCAATGCTCACTTACTGACAGTTCACATTCTGACACATTTACTAGAAGGGTTTATGTTGATTCTCTCTTACTGAAATCTTCCATGGTGTAAATATAATAGAGCGCCACTGTGCCTCCAACCAAGATCTCAGTAAAGTTGGGGTCAATAAAAATGCCTAAAGAGGACTGTTAGATGTTAGTAGTTTCCCTTTAATTAAGGGTTGGCTGCTACCTGTGGTGCCATCTTTGACAAAGGCTACATATTTTATAGACATCCATGCATATTTAGGGGTTTTTAAGTGCTAGACAAACCATAGCAATGAATATTTATAAAGTGTAAAGAAAAGCATAGTCAGATATTTTCTTTTCTAAATAAAAAAGAGAAAAGTTTGAAGTACATTCAATCCCCTTATATTTTGTTAGCTCTAAGTATGATTGATAATCGTCCTTCTCAGATATAAAGCCTTAAATTACCAGGCTCTATCTTATATTAGAGATCTGATTGTTCCTTATGTTCCTAAGAGAGCACCTCGCTCTCAATCTGCAGGTTTACTAGTGGTCCCTAGAATTTCTAAAAGTAGAATGGGAGGCAGATCTTTTAGATATCAGGCTCCTCTCCTGTGGAACCAACTACCAGTTTTAATCTGTGAGGCAGAAACCATGTCTACTTTTAAGGGTAGGTTTAAAACTTTCTTTTTTGATAAAGCTTATAGTTAGAGTGGCTCAGGTCATCCTGAGCCATCTCGATAATTTTGCTGCTATAGGCTTAGACTGCTGGAGGACATAGAGACCCCTTTTTCATCATATCTCTATTCTCCTACTCTGCAGAATCTATTACCGTAGTTCAATCTCTAACGTTATGCTCTCTCTGCTTTTTCTCATAGTAGCTTCACCACGTCTGTTCCTGTTTGGCTGTGACACCATCCTGGAGAGAAATATCAGCTGTGCTGCTGCCATCAACACCTTTGTTTATAGATGTTCGAGATCTGCCTGTTTTTCAGTGTAGTCCTGTTTCTCTGACTGTGACTGAGTGGATGTGCTCTCTTGATCCTCTGACATGATAGTTGGCTTGGAACTCGTCTGCCTGGCTGTGTGTTTCCTGGACGGGGCCGCCTTTTTACAGTTGCTTTTTGTATCTCTGCTTCTGTCACCTTGAACCCCAGTCAGTCTCGGCAGATGGCCGCTCACACTGAGCCTGGTTCTTCCTCTACACTGTTGCTACAAGCATGCTTAGTGTGAGGGATTGCCTTCGAGCAAATTAGTCAATGCAATCAACTGGTTTTCCTTAGACAGAAAACTTTGAATCAATTTGACTGTATGGTCTGGTGAACTGTAAAGTGCATTGAGATGATGTGTTGTGAATTGGCGCTATATAAATAAACTTAATTGAATTGAAGATTGCACCTCATACTCTTGAGAGGCAACATTATCAGTCGAACCTGAACCCATCATGAAATATGATGGTGGCAGTATTATGCTGAAGGTATGGCCTAGTCAAAGTCTGGAATCAAGAAAAGATTGACTCTAAGGTGCTCAATAATGCACATCAAGTGTTTCAGATTTTTAATGTCAAAGTTTGCCTGCCTTTCCAGGATTGTGCTTTATTTTCCGTCACTTTGTCACATTAAAACTCTAAAATATATTGAAGATTGAGGCTGTAATATTACAAAACCAAGAAAAAGATTTCAGGATTATAAATACCTCTGTAAGGAACATTTAGTTTAAAGTACATATTCTGAGCTGATGTTGCATTGTAGGTTCAGTATACATGTCCTTGTACTTTTCTGAGTTGCTTCAGACACTTACTGCTGACCAGCTGGCCCACGCTGAGAGCCGAGGAAGATGAGGAGGTAGAGGAGGAGGAGGAGGCCTGGTGTAGAGGACTCTGTCTGTGGGGCATGTGGAGCAGGTTGGCTTGAGATGATGCAGGGCCTGACTGACCCTGCTGAGCCTGAGGCAGCTGGACACACAGACAAAACAGGGCATTCATATGACGTACCAACAGCTTGAGGTCCAAAAGAAAACATTAGTCCTGCTGAACATCATCATGAGAGAAATAAATTGCAATAATAATGTCATTATGCTGACTGGAACACACTGTAAAATTGAATCAACGCAATCAACAGATGCTAAATTAGCCAGTTAGATGCTGAACATAATGAGAGACTCACAGTACTTCATCATGATCATTATGAAAATAATTCCACTGGTTTATTGCAGTGAGTACAAGTATTTCTCTCTGTGTGAGCTTTGTAATAACTTGAAAAAAAAAAAAGGTTTGGTAGAAGAATAAAGAAAAGAAGATTTTGACATTAGTCTTGTTTTTTTATCATTAGGGATGGGGAGATGCCTTTAGTGAGAGCCTGAATGTAGGTAAAAAACGTCTGTACGCAGCAGTCCCCGTATCAAACATAATTCATGATATGCCAACTATGTGCACAGATGGCAAAAACTGATGTATTTTCATGTTTTATGCACATTTGGGTTTGCTTTTACAAGATCAATACAGTATGTCTTTACTTTAAAAGCAACAAAAGCTGTCTAAACCACAAACTGGGCTGGTTTCTCTTCTCCTCTTTTGCCATTAATTATTTTCTCTGTGGCATGTGTTTGTTTGGATGGTGGTGGTGGAGGGGTGTCAACAGCAATGCACACACTGTCAGGACTGTTGACAGGCTCGGAGAATTATCTAGCTTCACTGGAAATATTCCAGACTGTAGGCTCTGACAACCGTAAATTATGCCCGTGGAACAATGCGTACAAGCTGGCTTTGAGGTGCATACACGAGCATAAACATTATTACAAATGCATTAATTCATTCAAGAGTATGATCTGCTGTTTTGGGTGCCACAATTAGGTGTCCATCTTCAGAAAGAGTTCATCCATTCTGCACTGCAGAGGCCTTCAATGTGAACCTTTACCCTGTAATTCTGCTCTGACATCTTCATTTTCAAGTCAATAACATTTTCAGAATGCATGAATCGGCAGACGTGCATCTTATGCACCATATAGATTGGAAAGTTGGGAGGACAAGGTCTTCAAGACAGCAAGGGCTTTATGTAGACTAACATTTGTTTAGGTCAAAGAGGGCAAAACATGGGGCTGTAGAGCATTTATGAGGGACAACAATGAAACAAAAAAAAAAGATATGGAGGGGAGTAAAAGTGAAAAATGACATTTGTTTGGTAGCTTGATTTTTCAGAAGTCTCTGCATTGGTTTATGAGTTTCAGAGGGACTTCACAAATATTTTACTGACAAATCTGCACCAACACAAGTGTAAAAAATGCAGCATTTTATGGGTGAAAGTATGCAAATAAGTGCATACAGGGTTTAGGTAGGAGAATATTTTCCAACAAAATGTTATAACATCTTGAATATATACAGATAATCACATTAAAGCACAGAAAGTATACTATCGGAATTAAATGTGATAGATGAACACAAACCGGCTAATTCTGATCATCTCTCCAACAACGGTCTTTGGAATTCATCAAAATTGTACGCAAAAGTTTACTTTAAGGAATGATTTTCTGATGTACCTAAAGGGATCCACAAAATGGAAAGCAGGTAGATCGCGCAAAGTTTTATTTTACTGACATAAACTCTATTTGGGTTCCCAGCCACTTGTTGTTTACATTAACAAAACTCCATTTGCTACTTGCAGTCTTAGAGTGGCCTTTAAAGAACTTTATACAACTACCTCCATAAAGTTGAAGGTAAAAATTACGAGTATTATGAAATCAATAATAAAAGTAATTTAAAAGGAACATTTAGGTACATTTGGAAAAGCTTAGTTTGTCTGCTAATCCCCTAAAGCCCCCTTTGACAGAGTAGGAGTGATGTTCAGATTTCTAACTTTTCTTTATGTAGCACACACAATTATAAATAAAAAATGCTCACACTCAAAAGAAAATAAGAAAATCAAAAAGGTTTAAGAAAGAAAAGAAACCCTGAGAGCCTTATAGTGTCCCCATTAATAATATCATTAGCTTGTTTTCCAACAATGAGATTAAGGTCTAAACAGCTGGATTTACCTCCATCAACTCTTTACAACACACCCCTGACTAAAATATTGCAAACCAAGGTAAGGCCCCAACAATTTCTCACAAGATAACTGTGCTTTGTGTGGAACCTATAAAAAGAAAATTGAAAGGGAAAAAAAAAAATCTCTTTAGCCATAAGTTAGTTCAGGTGAGCCCCTGGTGTCCTTTTATAGGCTCTGTGATCTTTGCTCTCTGATGGTTGATAAAACTGTGTTTATTCTTTTATATATAGACATACCAAGATATTTAAGTTTAGTTTTGGGGTTTTATTAATTATAGAAGAACTTCCTGCTGCATAAATCTGTGCTTTCCTGCTTACATAATTTCCCCCACTAATATCATTAAATAATTTATCTTCTGATAGTTCATACATGTTGACCTGCACATAGAATATCTCTCCATTGTCTGTCTTTTTTACCAATGCCTCCTATGTGTCCATCATGAAAGCAGAAATATTGCGTTTCTGACTTTCAAAGGTGCTTAAAATAGACACAAGAACTGAGCCCACAATCAAATGTTTGATAAATCCCTTTCTAGATAGTAAGCACTCACATTTGGATATAATAATACTCATAAGACTTAATCCTTTATGCAGGACGAATGCAAAAATAATCAAAGAGGGCTGCAATGGAGTGTTCTAGGTTAAACTATATTGATTTATCAAAGTGGCC